ACGGCGTTGGTGGATGTCATGCCTAGGCACCCTCTCCAGGATCTAACTCTCACAGAATTGGATGAATTCTACCAGAGAACTGGATCTAGGTCTAGCTAACTCAGCCTCCATCAGATCAGGTGTCAAAGCTAAACTGGTGTCTACTTCGTCAAAACATCATGCCAGACACACCTCTATTTCCCATCTCCTTTCTGTCACCTCTAAACAGACGCATCAGGCGAAGGATGGGGAGCCCACATGGGTGACGGCACTTTACAGGGGAAATGGCCAAACCAAGACAGGACATCATATATCAATTGTCTGGAATTGAGAGAAATGAAGAAATTAAGACATAGCACCATTGAAGGCTATTGATCAGCTCTCGCCTCAGTATTACAGCTTGATGGTCTATCTATATGTACTCACCCTGCATTAAATTGTCTCATTAAGTCCTTTGCACTGGAAGACATTAAAGTACAATGGACCTTCCCCAAATGGAACATATCCATAGTTCTGTCAGCTCTAATGAAGCCTCCATACGAACCTATGAACAAGGCTACTCTACTTTTAGAGTCAAGGAAAACAGCTTTTCTCCTTGCTATGGCCATTGCGGCACGACTATCAGAGCTACAAGCCATAGATACCTCATCTATTATGCATGAAAAAAAAAGATCCTTACCTGAATTCATTGCAAAAAAACAAGCATAGGCACTTGGTCCCTTAGGGCACGGCAATACACAATCCCGGCACTAGATGAAAAGCGTGTACTATCCAGGCAAAATCCTATGTCACTTAAGAACACAGAAAGCGGAGAAAACGGCCATTTATCTCCTGCAAGCTTTCATCAGAATAGGGGGCACGAGTGGCCCAGTCGTCTAAGGCGCCGCGATTAGTAGTCCCTGAGGCACGCCAGAAACCAATGAATGTAGGTTTTCATCCTGGTTCGCTCCTAATTATGTTTCTAGGTTTGTCAACACCATACCCATGCTCGTGGCTTTCACCGAAGTGGTAAATGTTTAATACTGTATCACTTCGGGCAATATAACTGTAATACTGTTAAAAGCTCACTCATCAGAAAAGCGTATTTCCAAGGCTACTGTGGCAAGCTCACACAAATCTCCACACCAACATGGGGAAGTTGCAGAGCTCACAAAATTAGAGCTCTTGCCACAAGTCTTGCCACATGGAACTCCATCTCCATAGAACAAATGGTCGTGATCTGCCAATAGAAGTCCGACAATACAATTTCAAACATTTACCTATGGGACATTCAAATGGATCTAGAGTGACTATTTTCTCTGGGACCACTGGAATCAGAGATCGATGGGAAATAAGTAATATAAAGGTTTCTCCTTGGTAGCCATGGGTGTATCATTGTACTGACTTCCGTGCACTGTTGTTAAAGGGAGACTCAGCAAGCTGGAATAATGGTAAATCCTGTTAATATATCACTAGAAATGGGAGGATATATGAAGTCATATAGAAAATGACTACATATCAAAATAGACCTAGCAAGAGGGTCTTGCCTGAATGAGGATTCATGTAAAATTACAGGAAGTATGTCAATAGAACCTTAGAAGCAGCGTAATTGTCTGGAAATACCGTAACCGGAAGTGACGTCATAAGGAATGTGAGAGAAAATGATGTCAGAACCACTATAACATCTGTCTAGCTCTAGGATATAAAACCTCTAGGTTCCCACAAGTAGACATCATGCAGCCTTATTCAAGGAAGCTGAAATACAATGCAGATCACCTCCTGTCACCTCCAATATATATTTCCCATTCAAGTACTGCCAACTATCTGGGGAAACCCTCTGGTGTATTCTGGCAATGATGTAACAGAGGTAGGGTATTCAAAGGAATTGTCAAACAATGGTTATCATTGTGTATAAGTCTAAGAATACTACCTCTATTACATCAGAAATTAGTTCCTCCCACCCCCACAAATAATTGGCATCTAGTGGATGAGGTTATTGGATGAAAGTAGTGATGGTTTCGCAACTATATAGATAGATTGACAGTGAAGAAGATGTCTGTTGAAAATGTAAATAAATTTGTTGTTTGATTGACAGCCAAACGGGAATTTATGGCAATGATATAATAGAGGTAGTATTCTTAGAATTATACACAATGATAACTATTGTTTGATATCTGGTGTCCCCTGCCATGATATTGCTGGAATATTGCTTAAAGCGGAATAAAACCATACTCACTTGCTCACTCAACTGATAAATAGATCACAAATCAAAACTCTTTGTAAATTCAGAATTTCTCTTCATAACCTAAAGGTTAGTTTTATCGAAAAGATCATTTTGATGTATCAGAACTTGATTGTATTTGTTCTAATTGTTTTATGATGCTTTTGAAGAGGAGCATTATTTATGCTTTGTTTGTGAAAAATACTCATCACTTCGTAGTAACATTTGCAATAGAAAAGTAAACAAATCTTAATTAATGTTCTTCAGTTTAAAAATACAATCAATCATGTTGCACTTTTCTTAATGCATATGTTTATAATATAGCATATAACTTTGTGACACTAATTAGATTTCCATACAAACATATCCATGTTTTATTTTACCAGCACATTTATACTTTCCCAGGAAGATATTAAATCTTAAAGGTATTTTATGAAAGCTTTAATGTAATATTATGTTCACAACACTGGAAGCTTGAGATATGTCCTTTACTATTAGTACTTTTGGCCATGTGGCCTTTATACTGAATCAACCTCTGAATCTGAATCTGAGACATCCTGATACAAAATCTGTTTCATGACATAACATGTCCTGTTTCACCATACAGCATATAATTTGACTATCAGTAAGCAGACAACTAATTCACCATGCAATTATCTGGAATACACTTGTGTAAAGCTGAGGTATATTCCAAGAACATTTTGTTTACACTTTCTACATTTTTTGTAAATCCCCCACCTATTGCATGCATAGCTTTTATGGTACAACCATACAATCAAATACTTAGAAGAAACATTCCAGTGACAACACGCCCTACCGAACTCCATTCTGCATTCAAAATATACATATGCTGTATATTATTTTAATGTCATCAATTACTTTTAACCAATTTTTGTGTTCTGTTTTTCTGGGGTTAGCCTCCCTCTTTTTTACATTGGATGACATTTTGTATGTGCATTGCCTACCATAACAGTTCAAAATTTCACAACAGGACACCCACACACACTATGGTTGAATGATATGTAGACAATAACACCAGCTCATGAAATCTGACAACAATACAAGTTATTTGGCTATATTGGAGTGTCAAACATATTTTTTATAATACTATTTATCTAATAGCTAAATTGTAATGTTGTAATGTTTAGTACAAAACTATTGAAAATCGCTGTTTACGCATCAGTGCCCAAGACCAAATTGTTGAAAATGTGAATGGATTGGAAGAGAATAACAAAATAATTAGCTGTAACATACGGCTTCATCAGTATTTCCTTTAGTTTTAAGATCAAAATGAGATGAATTTAGAATGGAAATAAGATTTTAATTTGAAAAAATATTGTTACTAGCTTTTTGTAAATGTCACTATATGACTAGAAAAAGGTAAAGGGGGTTCATACCAATGTCATTATGGCTAAATGTGTTTTAGCCATAATGACATTGGTATGAACCCCCTTTACCTTTGGAGGTCAGCTTCACAGAGAATTTGTACAGACATTGTAACTTGCATCATGAAGGACAAGATTGAGAAATCCTATTGGTGATGTATATAGAGAAGATGTGTAAGGCGACGCTGCAGACCCATGACGACATTATTGGCTGAATAGGACCCCAGCCACACAATCACCAGTCATCAGAGTGTCAATAACTGGATTGTCTGGTCCAGACTCAATTATTAACAGACTGCCGTCATATAGCTGGAATATTGCTGAGTGCTGTGTTAAACAACAAAGAAACAAATCATACTGACCAATTCATAAAGAGGCTAATCCAGAGATCTATAGAAGAAACTACTGCAGACAACCTGCCTGACCATATACTCTAGAACTTTTCAATGTTCGAATCCATGAGAACCATCATGTACCGGTCCACAATTGGTGGATAAAACTGTTAAAATAGAAAATAGTATAGTTTCATGAGATATATAAAAAGTTTGAACTTGTTTCAAGAGTGTATTGTTTTGATTTACGGGGTTATCTTCACTCCATACACATAAAAAATGAAGGAGAAACTTGCAAATTTCCAAAATTTAGAGAGATATTAGTTTCAAGTTATAGTTGTAAGATAGTAATGAACAAATTGGGAACACATTACATCCATGAGTGAAGTGTGACACTAGATGTTATGACCGCCAATGAACTTGAAGTGTGTTGGGTAAGATGGGAAATTTCAAGGTTGATGTTTTTGGTCATTACACCATGATTTTTCAAACATGCAATCACTCGATGAGGCACACTGTGTATGAGTCTCCAATTGCCAATTTGAGTGAGTTTGTCCCACTCCCCTTGCAGCGCCTGGCCAAGTTCAGCCGCCCTCGTCTCCTTATCATGACCAAGACATGGGAATGGGGGAAAGGCGTGGGATAATTGCTGGTCATGGCATTCTATGGATGTTCGTGCCATCCCACACCCAAACTGATCCACTGCCAAATCTGTCATGAGGTCTCAGGTCAATATTGGCTTCACATTCACTTTGACATCCCCAGACATGACCATGCCTATCAGGGAAGTGAAAAGTGAATCGGGACTCATCTGAAAACATGACACATGACCAGTGACTATTACCCCGGTTTCGACGTTTTGTGCACCATTGACGTCTGTTGGCAATATGACATCACAAGGGATAGCACAATACGTGGCCATCAAGCATGGAGCTAAACTGCATGTATACGATTTCTGATTGTCTGACCCATAACTAATACTCAAGTAGCCTGATGAAAGTTCCAACATTTTCACATGGTAGAATATACAAAATGTATCAGTATATCCTCAGTAAAACATTTTTCTAACTCTCCATCATTGTTATCCAGTGATTTTTGCTGCAGGTTGCAGTGTGTCAGGAGAAACCATGGAGGAGCCCTGGGAGCTGACCAGTCTGAGGGAGGAGGAGTTGGAGGAGTTCTGTGTATACATCGTCCATGACCGGCCATGTGAGAGTGTTGTTGGTCCAAACAGAGCTCAAGCATCTCTTCCAAGAAATCTAACACTCAAACCTTCAGCAATTAATCCAAATGTAGGAACATTGTTCTTTCTACCACAAGTGTTTTGGTTTTCGTCAATAGAAAAGGCAGTCTTTGCTTGATGATAATTGTAAGGTTACATATACATATATATATATCTCGAAAGAGTTGGGAAATTAGTTCAGTTCATCTAAGCTAAATAGATAGGCAATAATTAGCTCATGTTATGTATGCTTGAAATTCCACGATATAATGATTTGAAACACAGTTACCAAGACACACTGACCACACTGCAGGAGAAAATGCCCTCGCCTTGAGTTTTCTGGATCAGAATAGGTCCCTTCGTAGAATCCCCAGTTAGTGACAATGACAACTGAGTGTGTTCCACAATGTACTCATCAACAGAAAGACCAAGATGTGACCTAGTTGATTGTGTCCATAAACCTTGGTGACATTTTTTGTAGCTCACAATATTAACCAATGGCATAGTCTGTTTGGTCCACACTCAGCTGTTTTAACATCAACTGTAATATAAATGCTTTTAGCTAATGGTTTGTGTGAGCTAATGTCAAGATCAAGTTGTGAAGTTGGGCTATATCAAAGTTCAACCAATACCCAGTTTTGCCCCAAAATATAATTAACAGTGTTAAACCTTTATATATAACTACACATGGTTAAAACATCTTTAGGTCATTCTAAAGGTTAAGACCGAAAGAAATGTTTGTATAAATGTTAACTCAAAAAGCATATACTGAAAGTTGGTTCATGTCATATTTGCCGTGGGGCCACAATCTTAAAAGGTTTTAAGTGACCTATGTATAAGATCAAGGCCATAACTAAGGTCGTAAATAAAGCTCGGTACAATATGTGAAGCCCATACCTGCTGTAACCTGCCATCATATTGCTGGAATATTGCTAAAGTGGCTTAAAACCATACTCACTCGATCATAAGCAAGCATGTTTGCCATTTTCACTACAATGCTTCTTTCTGCAGACATCTTAAAGTCTTATTTATGTAGTGGTTATTTAATTTGAATACTTATGTATGACAAGTGCAGCAGTAATGACCTACTGTCAGTTTTTTAGCAGATGCTGTTTTTTCAATGTTACTCTGAATTTTATCTGAGGATTATATTTGCTATATTTTCTGGATATCCCTTTAGAATGCTCTTGAAATATTTGTCATTGATATTGAACGTCAAGTCAAGGTATGTTTGCCTGACCAGAAGTAATGTCATTAGACTTTATGTAATGTCATTACAGCTCATTATGTTAGCTGGAAACAAGGTGCCTTAAACTCATTTGAGGTTGTGGTAGGCATGCATTTCATCAAACCAAAGGTAATGTTTTAACACTGGAAATGTGTGTCAGCTTGTTAGGATTTCTGGTAATTCTAGAAATGGCAGTGAGGGGATTGCTTCTGTTTTTGCAAGTACCTGCAAACACTTTTCTTGTTTCTTTATGTTAGTGTGCTATGTTTTTAGCAAAAGGATAACATGCTCATTAATGTATTTCCCTCAAACTTCTAATGTGCACAGACATTCCACTGATGCCTACAGTGCAGTGGCATCACAGTTTGAAGAACATTGCACTGTTACTCCTATTCATTCTTCAGCAACACACAACCTATTGCAAAATGGGAATTAATTCACTTTTTGTTCAATATTTAATGCCACATCTTTAATGATTTGACAGTCTATAAGATGAGGTGAATCTGGATTTAACGTCGCATTCAAGATTATTGCACTTACATAGTGACGTGCATGCATCTGTGTGTGTGTGCGTGTGTGGCTGCTTGTAGTTGTCTGAACTAATGCCGATTTTATAGTACTATCCCCCTGAGCTACCATGCCGCAGTTTAACATGAATGCCTCACTCAGACACTGTATACTACCTCCGAGGTGACCAGTCCTTGTGTTAGCCTAAGTGCCAAGCTGGGTAACAACAAGTACCCAATTGTTATGTCTTTTGGTATGACGTGGCCGGGAATCGTGCCCTGGTCCTTCCACTCTTCAGGCAGATGTTCTGTCCACTAAGCCTTGGAGGCAGTCCGTAGTCTATACCTCCAGATAATAGTAAAAGATTGACTAAAAATATACCTACTGTTTTGTTGTCTTTTGGCAGGGTTGTCAAGAATTCCCTTACAAGGATCTTAATTAAGATAATTGCTTTGACTTCTTTCAGATTTGGCATATGCCAGACAGAACATCTGTCCTCCACGTGATGTTTGATATTGGTGATATTTTTATAGTCAAAGGAAATAAGGGCCAGAGCTAGGCCTAAATTATGGTAGAAACTGCACAGGAGTGTCGTAAGATAAATTCCTGTGTGTGCATACATTATATACATACCCGAAAGAGCATAAATAGACTCAGGATGAAATATGGCCATGACATAATTCTTTCTTGATACATGTAATTCTTACGAACCCTCTACCTCAATTACATCTCTGCCATAAATCCTGTATTTTGGCTTCAGTCACATAGGTGCAATAATCTTGGGCGTGAGGTTAACCCCATTTAACCTCACCTGGCTTCTCTGATGCCCGAACACCATCTATTCACAGACTCAGATTCAGGATGGGGAGTCAATATGGACGATCTCATGGTACAGGGATCCTTGATTGCTGGAGAGAAGAATTTTCATATCAACTGCAGGGAAATGTAGGCCATCTATTATGCCATCCTGGAATGGAAGATACATCTTTCCCAATCGTCCGTCCTCATAGCCACGGACAACACCACAGTAGTGGCCTACATTCAGAAGCAGGGAGGAACCAGATCCAGCTCCCTGATGACGGAGACTACATGATTGTTTGCCTTGGCAGACTTCTTCAATTGCCTGATGGAATCGAGACATATTCTCAGGAAACTGAACATCCTTGCCGATAGCCTTTCTTACCGGGGGAGAATAGTAGCAACAGAATGGACACTACATCCCCAGATCTTTGTTTGGATAACCCCTGGATTTGCCACCTGCCAAAACAACCAACTTCCAGTTTATGTCAGTCCAGTTCCCAACCCAAGAGCTCACCAGATCAATGCACTATCGATGGATTGGATGGGTCTGTGTGCTTACGCATTGCCACCATGGTCGCTCCTAGACAAGGTCATCCACAAGGTGGAAGAGACCGATTGCTGTTAATAATGGTGAATTGTGCGATCTTCGGATCGCTTCACACATGATTCTTCGAAATTAATTAAAACAATATTAAAAGAAATTTTGAATAAAATAGTGAAATAAATTACAAACATAAGTCCAGATATATAGTGAACACTTTTTATAGCCAGACTGTGTAATTACATGATTAAATTGCGTACTTCAGTGTGGATTTGTTGACATGGTATTTCCGGTGTTATGTGCTCACGGTAATGTCTTTGTGTACTATCGGCACTGTTACAGAAACCTTTCAAGCCCATGGCAAAAGCTACCTTACTCCAAAAAGCCAGGAAAACTTCCTTCCTCCTAGCCATGATGACAGCCACAAGAATCTCAGAACTATATGCCTTAGACTATTCTAGTCTGACATCGCTTCCAAACTTCGTAGCCAAGAATCAATCTACCACAATGGGACCGTTGGGCCAGAGGCACTATACCATTCCTGCCTTAGGACCAACAGTTGATCACCCAGACAGGCTCTTATGCCCATCAGAGCTCTCAAGTTCTATCTCGTGGTGCAAACTATCATCCATCAATAGTTTTTCCCCCTTCTATCGAAAAAAAAGGGGCGGGAGGGCAAGGATCCGACACCAGCAGCATCAGATTGATTATTCTGTCTATTAGGTGTAGGATGGATTAGAAGCACCTTGTGTATCAACTGCCTCCAGTAGACATCCAGTGACATCACCACTGGAAGTGAGAACATAACCAGAAGTGATGTCAGCACTGGAAATAACAGAACAAGGTCCATCTTATCAGGAAATTACATCTTTGGGTAAAAATAGACCTTGAGAAGCGTCATTACCTAGGAAAAGGGAAGTGACATCACAACCGGAAGTGATGTCAGCACTGGTATTAATGTCACGAATCCAAAATTAACAAGAAATGACGTCATTAAGCAGAAATAGATTAGAAATGACATCATTATTACAATCAAGATTGGCAAATATAATGGTAATGCTGGTGAAGGTATCACATATTTGACTGATTCTTGACACATTTCTGATTTTCAGGTCCTCGGGGGGAATTTCAGAGGAAATTATCTCAAGTTAGGATTAGAATTAGTAAATAATGGTTTCAAGAAGAGATTACTGTCAATTACACTGGGAGTTACTAGAGGCAGATCCCACCGGGTCCCTCTGTTATATTCTGGCAGAGATGTAATAGAGGTAGAAGTTTCGTAAGAATTATCGAACAATAGTTATCATTGTCTAAGAATAAGACCTCTATTACATCTGAAGTACTCCCACCCACCTCCCCAATTTATTTACCTCTAGTTGTTAGATGTGGGAGGTTGCCGCCATTGCTTACGTCATAGTTTGGGTGGTTATGATGCTACTTGGCAACAACTAGTTCTGTGTGTTACTGACAGTGAATAAGATGTCTGTTGAAAATCTGAAAATTTTAGTTAGTGTGACAAAGTCAAAATACAGGATGTATGGCAGAGATGTAATAGAGGTAATATTCTTAGAATTATTAACAATGGACTATTGTTCGATTTTGAACTTCATAATCTTAAATTGTGTTGTAGGAGCTTGGTGTTTGGAGTGTGGACTATATTCCACGGGGAACAAGATTTGGACCACTTGTTGGACAACTGTTTGAAAAGGAATCAAAAATAAACATCAAGAAGCACTGCAAACATTTGTGGAAGGCAAGTTACATCAATGACAGATCTTAAGAGCAGGCATATTTACATAATTTTATAATAATATGTGTGAGTTTTGTGTAACTCCAAAACAGTCACACAGGGAAACTGTCATGTGAACAGCACATGCTGCACCTGGTATATCCTCTTTCTCGATTTGGTCAGACACCTTCCTGAATTTACCCAAGTCATGAGAATAAAAGCAACAAATGGAGAACTCATTGTACAATTCCAAGTACAATATCATAATATCATAAGCATGTGTTTGTGAATCACCATCAAATAGTGATGATACCAGGGGTTCATGAAAGGTGAGTGTATCCTGCTCACAAAGACATGCATCAAGTTTGGAAATGTCATCTACATGTCTACCTTAATAAATTTTGAAAGTTTGAAAGTTGTGACCTTGATCAAACAACTTTTGAGAAATCTTCTTTAAATACTTGAAAGCATACTCTAATTATACATCAAATGTTGTGAAAGGGAAACACAAAAGGTTGGGGCTGTTGGAATATTTTATGTTAAAATATCTATAAAAAAATATTCTCCATCATAAATTATGTACATGTGTTTCTGTGTGTACATTACATGACTACATTATGTTTATTTTAGTTCCATTTAGTTGTTAAGATATTGTCTACTTCTTCAGTTGCAATTAACAACCACACTCTCCTCTATTGATGGCTACAGATTTCACATTCTGCTCACTTTGATTTTTTCCGGGTTTGCAACATCGCCTTGGACATATTTTTTCCAATTGTTTTAGACAAAAGATAAACTATAACTTGATGTCTAATCTAAACTATTTTAAATATGTCTGAACTAAAACTTTCACATAAAGTCATCAGAATCTTGCTGTCGACGGTATCTGATAAAAGCTTTCATGAATATTTGTGGTATATCCAAAAACATGATCAGCCCTTGCCCCATCACAATTTTTTCTTGAACGCCCCCAAACTCAAAGCATATACCTCCTCTATCATACTTAATTAAGAATAAAGTTTTTGAAACTCACAAATGGGCTTGCCCTGGGCGACTTAGTGTAAGGCTCTGTCTGTACATATGTACATACCAAAGATGTTTTAGTAGGTGATCTCCAGAACCTTTGCGCTGATTATCAAAGTTGGTGCCAGTGTGTTATAGGTATGTCAGCAACCTCCAGTTGTTAATGGTGATTTTGACCTCATTACGGGATCGGGGACATGGGTGGCCCAGTCGTCTAAGGCGCCACGATTCGTTGTGCAGAGTTGCGTCCCTTGAGCACGACAGAAACCTATGATTGTAGGTTTGAATTCCGGTTCGCCTCGATTATGTTTCTAGGTTTGTCCGCACCATAGGCCGTGCTTGTGGGTTTCACTGAAGTGGTCTGAGAACTACATCACTTCAGGCTTTCCTCCCACATTAAGCTGACAGGCTGCGTTATAACTGGAATACTCTTAAAAGCGGATCACTCATTACAGGATCAGGGAAGCATTTGGCCAATTTTCTTTTTGCTTGCAAGATATCTCCAGACCACCGACATCAGCATCTGTAAACATCTCAGAAACCACTGGACCAATGGGGCTGAAATGTCACATGCTTCTTCCCACCAATGAATGACACCTGAATCTGTTCAATAAGTTTCGACCACCTCCATGGTCTAGTGGTAGAGTTGTCTGCCAGGAGAGCGGAAGGTCGGGGGGGTTTTATCCCTGGAGGTGTCATACCAAAAGACATTAAAATATGGTACTTGTTGTTACCCTGCCTGGGACATTTGGTATATATGTAGTTAAAAGTGGGGCTCAACTACCAGTTGTATACCTTATCTTAAGCATGACTTTGCCTTTTCTCCACATCAAAATTGCTATCCATAAGTGCATATCCATATGCTCCGATAATATTTCTGCGTGTTGTTTGTTGTCCTTGAGACCAGCACACACAGATAACCCCTACACACCCCAACTCCAATTGATAGGTGATGTTGTCTTCAATATTGTTTTTGTGGCCTGGGGCTAACACCCATGGTGCATGTGCTCCGCATTCGTGCTTATTTGGACTGTATCCTACTTTTATCAACATGGTTTTGTGTTACATTTATTATATTCTTATGATTTCACTTTGTGGCCTTAAATGGCTCAATTCTATGTTTTTTGCTATGTTTTGAAGAGCAATTTAGGATTCATATCAGCACTATTACAGTGATAGCTGGGGTTACCTCCCTTCTACCAAACATGGCCAACTGCCAGAAGCCCACACTCACGATGCCATGCTACCTAAAGGAAAGGTTTATTTAGAAGTTCATTCTTGTTATTTATTCATACCTAACTAACAGATGGGTGTGTACACCGGTACCGGGCTTCTCTTAACACATTGACTCTAGCCAGTTATTGTGTCAACCTCCTCCGCCTCTCACTCCCTCTCCAATTGGTTTGTCGGTTGATGGGTTCTGAGCTTTTGTAGCTAACTTTCCTGGATGGAAACAGAGAAATGATTTTTAAAATGACTACTTTATCTGCTTAAATGCCTGAACTCAGGACGCCAGTTTCTTCGGTCCTTGTGGTTGAACCACCTGATTTTACAACCTCTGACCTTGACTGCTGGCTCAATAAACATGTGTGTCCATGTTTCTCCCACATGTCACTATTTCTCTACCATCTGATAGAATGGATCGCAAGGTTCATCTCCATCTAGTGATCACTTCACAAAGAAGCATCCGGTTGATCATTCAGACACTGGAATGTCTGAACATTGACAGCTCAAGGCATAACTTCTTTTTTATATTTCTCCAGTGTCAAATTCGCCAGCTTTCACTGTGGATGCAGTGCCCATAAATTGTCAGAGGATAGCATCAGCACTCTTTCGAATGGCCGTTGGGGCAGTTGACGGTGGAAGATCAAGTTGGTCCTGACATGGAAGAGCTCCTCCTTTGTCCTATCCATGCTTTGGTTTATTTTGACAGGACGCAGACTTTCTGGATTGGCAGGCATCGCCTTTTCCTTCCGTGTCAGTCGCAGTCATCAAGGGATATTACCAAGAATAACATTGCCTCTTGTTTGAAAGAGACCGTTTCCTTGGCTTAGCAACTGACTCCAGATTTGTCAGATTGTTTCACTTACATGCTAGGGATTCATTCATCATTAAGCAATGACTCTCTCTGATGACAATAGGAGGGATGTATTTTGACGTTCAGGAAACAAATTAATCAAACAATGAGGAAGAATTTGAAGATTGGTAAATCCTTATTTATTAAATGTTATTTTATAGTTGTTCTATCAATGAGGTTGTCAGGTACCCACTGAACCAACCTTCTCTATGTGGGATTAAAACATTTAATATTGAAAATATTCATTACATTAAGAACTATTGAATGTATACTACCTTAAACCCGATGGTGTATCTATACGTAGGCCCTCCCTGTCCACCCCATTTTGATTGTGTATGGATAGTTGGGGTTGGATTCCACATGGGAATCAAACAATAATGATGGGAGGTAACTCTGTGTACTGGTCTCAAAGATAAAACAACATGCAGAAGGGGATTACAGTTTTTATTACAGGAGCATATTGATATGCACTTGTGGACATCACTTTTGAGTACAATGAGACATGAATTTTGAGAACAATGAGCTAAACCATTGAAAGTTGTGTTTGGAGTGGTATAAATTGAATAATTTCCTTAAGTTTAAACATCATTTCAAAATGTTCCCATCCTTGCAATATGTTAAATTTTGATGATTATTTGACCTTTGTACTTTGAACCATGCATCTCCTCAAGAAGCCACATGACTAATAAAGCTGAAAGTTCCACAATGATAACACCTGAACTTGTTCCATAGGTTTGATTCCAAAAGATATTTATGTCCATTAATCATTCACATTTGTAAGAGATGTAATAAATTTGGTAGATGTGTTTGTTAGTAGTGGGGGCTCAAAATGTATGTTACATTAGTTTTACAATATTTATATTTTAGAACTTGTTTTGACCATGCTCTTAAGTTCTCTATAAATGCCTGTGTGGTTCAGTAAGCATCATGTCTTCTGAAATTGTCAGATTAAGGGAACATACGTGTTTCTTCCTTTGATGATGTCATATTTTGTTTATATCTATAGAATTATTAACTGTTTACTTCTCATTCACGTGAGCTACAGTGCCATGGCACTATTTTCTGTTTGTTTGCGAAATATCACAATAAACAATAGATTATATTCATGTGAGATAGAAAGGTCATTTAGGAGAGTCTGCAGGCCCCACTTAATTACTGTGAAAACATAGACCATATTTTCAAGATGACAGATAGCATTTGAATGATTTGGATTTTGCATAATTGCTTCAATGATGACATCCTCATCTGGTTGACATTATCACAATAAAATTTGTTCACATTTGTTCGTGCTTTTTCCTAATGTACCCCCAGATCAAATTATAGAAATTGGGTAACATAGGCAAATGATAATCTGTTGACAATCACTCTAAAAATTTATTTGCTCTACAAGACAAAAGCATTTAGAGATAACTGGACCTTGTTGTTCATACCTGATGATTATTTTGGCCTTGATGTTTGAATGGTCAGTTAAGATAAACAGTAGTACCAGACATTCCAGATCCAATTTATGTTTTTCAGTGTGCTGAGACTTTAATTATTCCATAAATTTCCATCACAAATCAGGTTCGATCAAAATGTCATTTTCATAAAAACGATCAGTAGAGTAGTAGTACAGATGAAATATGATCCATACTCAATAGACATCATTATTGTGTCCTGTTTGAAGTGGGGGACAATGAAATAATTGTTTCTTTCCCTGTTAAGAAATTCGGGGATATGATTTGGCCTTGAGATTTTCACTAATTTCATGGACATAAGGATTTTTCGGTGAACCGAAGGACATTTGTTTTATTTTGGTATTCAGGAATGCAACAAGGCCAATTGTAGGTGTAAGCAAAATGCTAGGGTGTTTGGGGGCAAGATATTTGTAAAAATGAGATGCTCTTAAAACCTATTTCTTGCATTTTGGGACCGTTAATGTCAGATTTTATTTGTAACAAATATTTGCAATTTATTTATTATAAGTTTTTATTAGTAACATATACATGTATATAGATCTATGTGTTTTACCAACACATTTTTTTACTTTCATTCAAGAAACATCTATGATGACAAATGAAATTTGAACATTAAAACAAATTGATAATATTACTTTTATGTGTTTTTACATGTTCATTGGTAGTATGCGATGGTTATTTATTTTTTCATATTTTAACACAAGCTATCATTGTAATAAAAATAATTGTGAGAGCGTGGTTTGCTTTTGCCACAAAGTACAAATATTTTGTGACGCACTTACTTTAAAGGGCTCTCTGCTAGCCTGAGTGAAATACCAGTAAGTATAGTTATAAACTTTCTGGTATTTCTTCAAATTATTTCATAAAGGTTTCGTTTGTTCATTATTGATATCTCAATTCATGATGAACACAAAATACAACAAATGGTTTTTTTGTATTTTTTAATTCAACTTTGAAATGAACATTGAACACACCTTTTAACCTTTATCACAACAATGAAATACACAATAAATATAAACTCATCGGCAGAATTGCAAAATCTTGATGTTTGTTTGTATTAACGTTTGTGACAAACCAGTTATAATTAAAAAGATTAGGGCAAAAGGTTCTAGTAGACAACTAATAAGCTTTTGGTTTGTCAAAAAACGCAATGGGATGTCCTGATGATTTATAATCACCTTTGAATCCTCGTTGACGGTCTATTTTAACAATGTGCATCGTGTCAACAAAGGGACATCACTCTCACAACTTGATAAACCATCTACAACTAAAATATCAAGTGTGTCAAGATTCCGATTTTAAGGTAGACAATAAATATCATGAATACACAATGCTATTTAGAAAGTGGTCAAATGTAACAAATGTTCTATTTGGGATAACACTTTCTTAGTAAAGTGCAGATTCTCGTACTTTTTTGGGTTTTTAAAAATAAATTGCGCTTTGCTTTAGGTGTAGGTATGCTTTTCTGCCACAATGGTAGTCTTGCCCCTGGTATTACATCATCAAACCTTCATAAAATGTTTGATGTATAGGATAAAACACGTCCGAGGGTTGTTATGATATTTAAAACCCGCACCCCGTGGATTTTCCGAGGGAAAGGCTTAAACAACCTGAGAGGAAGTATTTTATCTTACTTATAAACCGATTTTGAACCTTAAAACAACATTTATCAACATTTTTATGTTTCGAACATACTTTCCATGAACCTTAGGAAACGGGCGTAAAATATCTGTTGCTGGCGTACGGATCTTGAAAAGGACATGCTAAAAAGCAGTGTGGCTTATCAACACCTTTGTAGCTTTGTGGTACACTCACTGGGCTACAGATATGAAGGTTGTGAGTTCGATCCTCAGGAATATAAAAAAAACATTTGTTATTTAATTTTACATTTCATTACATGTTACAATCTGAACAGAAGTTATATTAATAAAATACCCAGGACATTATATAAAATCCCTGGGATATTATAACACATTATATAGCAAATATGACTTGAATATCCTATAAAATCCCAGGGATATTATATAAAATCCCAGGGCCATTACAACGTCCCTGTTTATAAGATTTAACCCGACTGGAGAACAATAGGATGACGTCACCGGAGGTTTATAACTCATTACAATTTTACACTTTAAAAGGAATTGTATAATGTCAAACAAATGATATTATCTACTATGATGAGTTTAAATTAGTATGTCATGTTATGAGTATCCAGTGATAATACATACATTAATATATGTGCAGTCACCTTGTGAGATCAGTATGTGTTACTTCTTCCACAGGTTTTTCAGCATAATGAGGTGAAACAGTTTGTGGTGACATCAGATCCTGTGTTTAGCAACTGGATGCACTATGTCCAGCAAACAGTGGCTGAGACAGCTGGACAGCACAACTCTTTGGCTTGCCAACTGGACAGTAACATTTACTTCTACACTGTCAAATCAATCCCAGCCAACTCAGAAATTGTTGTCACCTACAGTCGTGAGTATGCAGAGAGGATAACTACACCACCAGTTAAAGATGACGTCATGTTGTCATGGAGTAAGTGAGCTTATTATTTTACTGTTTGATGGGACCAACCATTTGACATTCTGAATGGTCACTCTTGATCAGGTCATTTAAGTGGTATCATATGAATATATGATACTACTTAAAGTATGACGCATATTCTAAAACATATTTTATAGGGATACTAACACGAAAAAAAGAAGAAATTCTTCCACTTCCACAGTGTTAGCGAGGTAGGATCCTGCTGAAATTTGTTCAGTAAACTTTCCTTGCTACAAAGCATTTATACAACAAAAATAGATAGAAAAGGTTATTACACTTCCAAAGACAGAATTGTCATGTTGTCAGGATGCAGAATGTTGTTTTTGTGGTTTCTGTGGCAAACATTCAGGTCAGTCAAAGTCAGTTAAAATATCAGACAGCTTTAAAAAACTGTAAAATTCTTCTTTCAAACTCCTACAAGTTATTTAGAGGATTGCTTTCATGTAAGATATTACATTCTGATGCAATATCCTTGTGTGTAAAAGTATGTATTAGAAAATAGATATATTGATAAACATACTTATTTGACTGACATTGTTAATAGAAAATATAGAATATTTGACAAGTCTAATCTAAGGGGTTACTGATAAGTAAATAATGTATGAATGGTTTACTTACTTGGAAACTTGAAACCTGTAACAAATTTATTTAGTAATCATAAACTTGATCATGTACCCAAGTTTATCACTTAAAAGCTCAAAAGGTAATTTTTGGTTTTCTTAGAGTGAACTTTTTTGAATTTATTAATTAAGTAAGCTTTTTTTTGAGTGGAAGAAGAGACCAATAACATATTTCTCATACCGAAAATCCTAGCCCCACCCACCCCAAAGAATGTTAAATGATTGGTCCTTTACCAAGCCAAACTTTGGACAGAATTAGATGTTATTAATTGGGGCGAATATTGCCCTGCTGCAGGCATCATGTTTAGATAAGATGTTGATATATAGTTCACAATACATTGTATTGTAATACAGTGTTGATTAAGTGATCCCCATCATTTACACCAGTGGTGTTTATATAACTTCATGCACCTTGTCCAACATAATATGTATCCCCTTTGGTGTCTGAATGACACATCAAAGGTTGATGCATTCAGGCTACTTAAGAATAAAATATTATTAATATTTTTGTATTTACAGAGGTTTAAAAGTAAAAATTTGTGTGCATACGGTGTAAATTAGCAAAACAGTTGTTTTTTACTTTTATATCTCAATAAGCGCAAAAAAACATATTGAAGTCAATTCTTATAAATAAAGACGTCAACAATAATAAATTCACAGACTGCCTGTTTCATCATTAATACAAAAAATAATGTAAACAAGAATATAAAATCAGTGACAATGTTCAGTCCAATAATGCAACACAAGCCGTGACCATTCTATGAGTTTATGGGCATGGCCTTATTTGTTTATGAAAAGAATTGTCTTAAGATTTGTGCAGAATTGAACCTGTATTTGAAGTTGAAACTATTAGCTGTGAATATGGTGCATATAGATATTAATGTCATTTAACTTTTAACTGTCTGTTCTCAGTCTAGCTGGTCATGCTTCTTGTCTAAATAGTTATATTTTTATCCCTGTAGGATATTAGTACATTTTTGTACATTAGTACAAGTTTTGCTTTTCCATCATGATTCTTTTCAAGAAGTGATAAACCATAAGCCTTTCAATATTTCATCATGAAACTTTACATCGGTATCAGGCATGCATTGAACTGGTGAAGTTTGCTATTCAGGATATTCAATTTTTTTGTTTATTTTGTGTTTCTGTTTTATAACTCATTAACCATTCAATAATTATTCAAAAAGCATTGTTTACAAATGTGGCATGCCTTGAATTGGTGCCTTCTGCCATTCAGGAATTTTAGATGTTTATTTTTGTGTTTCCAGGGCAACATTTTGGACTCAGGTTCAAACGATGATAGGAATCATGTCAGGTGTAACCCATAAACTGTTTTTTATTTCTTTGTATACAAACACACATCAGGCATAATCAGGACATAATTTTTAATGATGATAGGGTTCATTTCCATAGTGTAGGTTACAATATTTCTGTATGAAACTATGTATGACCATCAGGCATGCAATGACAAGTGAGGAGTTTCAAGTGGTATGTTTGTATTGAGGGCAGACTTAAGTTGAACATATTTAATCCCTTAATAGTACATTGGCAATATGCTTTCACAACATTATGATGATTCTTAAATGGAAATAGATAACATATAAAGTTTTATAAATTGACAGTTCAATTACAGGTTTTGAACACTTATTTAATCTATGCATGTTCATGTAAGTGTAAAGTTTCAAATTTTAAAAATGTACAGGTTTTGTACAGGTGAGTTTCAGGTGCATCTTTTTTCAGAAGGTTGAATATTTCAATTCAGGGATTACTGATGACTGGCAATAATCCTCATATTTTTCATCTTGATATTCCTACAATATGCTTTAACTGTTATTTTCAATGTAATACTTAAATCATTTCAATATGAAGCAAATGAAATCATATCAGATATATTATTAAACATTATTTAAACAATCCACACTTAAGCAAATAAAGTATGTGTTATCAGTATGAGTACACATCCCTATTATAATTTCATGAGGTGCTTCAGATTTGGTCTACATAATTTGGCGTAGAAAATGCCATGTTAATGATGACAAGCATACACTGGCTGTCAAGAGTATATGGAGGCTTTCCAGGTTAAGAAAGTTATGTTTTAAATAAATTGTCCTATTGTGAAGTCGCAATTATAGTCTGAAAATTAAACAGCAATGTCTCTGATAATGCTGATAAAGTAAAAAGTACCTCCAGTTGTTAGATACTCAAGTGGTGAATATATAGCTATGATTTTATATCAGTTGATTGAATACTAAGGACATCCTTGCACATAGGTCAGAGCTGAACATATTATCAACATTAATAAAAGAGTTATTTAGGAGATAAACATACTGTGTTTTCAGTGTAGTGCTACGTTACCTGTAGATTTAACCGTGCAAAATTGAATTTGGAACCGAACACACTCAGTGTTTTGAGTGGTTTATCGATCTGAATTACAGAATCACCAAAAAAAATATGCCACTGTGTATACCCAAGCAGTTTGTTTACACTGTAATACTTCACTCGAACATATGACAGGCATTGAAAGCATATATATGAGCACAGCCACTTGGTAAGCTAACATGAGGTGGGCATCCCTAAAGAAAACAAAGCAAGCTTTGCAAGACTTTCACGCTACATCACACGTCACCATTATGACGTCATATCAATCATTGTGACGCAAAAGATATGACGTCACAGTCGTTTATAGAAAAGCGCCAAAATTCCAAGCTCTCTGTTGTCTCCAAAACGTAAATACATTCCCTTTGTAGATTATATTGTGTTTTCTGCACGAAATGTATTGCCACACATCCTTTGAATATTGTAGTAATTGCATCTGTGCATTTTGTAACCTGTAATTGTAGATATAATTATTTAAATATGCCTACCGACAATGACTGAAAAAAGTACTATTCTATGAAAATTAGCTTCCGCTGTGATGCGGCCGTCAAACCAGCTGTTTCAATCAGAGTGGGTTTATTGTGATTTAATAGCCTCTGATTGACCAATCAGAATCGAGTAAATTCCAAATTCATGGTAGAATACCCAATCAGTAGGACAGGAAATAAGAAAGTTTGATATCATCTGGCCCTTGCAGTAATCACATTTGTACATCTCTTCAATAAAAAGTGGAATAATAAAAATAGTAGTAACAATAAGAACAATTACATTAAAGTTTCTGCCTTTGGCATGAAACCCTAGTAACCTTAACAAAATGCAATCGTGTTTCACAGCCTTCAGCTTAAAACCCTTTACATAGCTGCAAGTAAAAATGTCTCCAAACCAAAATACATTTATTTAATCGAACATCCAGCTTGACATACATAGAGATTACAACACGAGTGCCTGTCAGATACCATTTATCTTACAACAAGTTGTTTCAAAACATATCTAACGAGCGAGTGATATGTTTTGAAACAACTCGTAAGTTAAATGGTATCTGACAGGCACGAGTGCAATAATCTGTTTCTTACACACCCTAAAATCACACCTTTTTAGCATTGGATCGATGCATTTTGTCTATTCTCATGATCGCAGTGGCGCATTAATACATAACACAACGGTCATGAGTGACGTCATCCAACGTACTGCTTACTATTCACAAATAATGTGACCCTACACCTAAACCTAAAAACATTTCCACCATCTGTTGATTACAAAGGCGATGATGATAGTGCAAACTATAGATAAGATCGAAGAACCCGCATGATGCCGAGTTAAAAATATTTACCTCAAAGAAATTACCAAATATGTTCAACAATGTTTACTACCGTATGACATCACTGCCGGTGACCGACTTCTACAAAATGGTGTGTTCACTGACAACAGTATGCAGGATTTTTAGAGGAGGATTTTCGTTGATTGAGAGATGGTATATTCATAAATGTGTCATGTAAGTAATAAGAAACAATCAGACAATCTGCGTAGTGTTATTTGTTTTTATGTTTTCCAACGTAACCAAGAGAATTTGTCAGAAATGCAGATAACTAGGTCTACTGTCATTGTTGTGCGTGACTTTGCGTCAGTCATGGCGTTGCACAGGACGGAAACTTTTACGATTTCTGTCAAATTTCCCTGATCATTGTAATGTATATAATTTTAATGCCATAATTTGTGCTACGATACTCTTCCCACGAATATTCTCAAACGCGTCAGCCAATGTATGCAACAATTATAAAAATTGATCTCTCAAAATGGGAGAGTGTAAAATCTGAATTTTGCTTTGTTTACATTTCAACAAGTACCGTTTCCTGAGCACACCTAATTTATTTTCACACCTAATTTATTTCGCTTGATGTCATCTCGATAGTTTGTATTGGTGACAAAGACCATTTGTCATTTGATTCTAAAATGTATGAGGAATTCAGGGATGCATGTATCGCAGCTGAGTTTGAA